CAAAACAACTTGTATTAAAAGTTAAAAATGAAATTTAATAAATTCGATCATTTAAAAGTAGCAAAACATCTTGTATTAAAAGTTAAAAATGGAATTTAATAAATTTCGATCATTTAAAAATAGTTTTTGTCATAAATTTAATCTAAAAATTAACCCAAAACGGTAATATTATGCTTATTTACGATTGTAGAAAAAAGTGATCTGTTTTAAAATTGTAAGCAATACGGTAAATTTAGTTTATCCAATAGATAATTATGTGAAAATACAATGAGAAATATTTGGTATGAATCTAAAAAAAAAAAAAAAAATTAACTTTTATAGAAACGAAAAACAAGTGTAAAAAAAAAGGAAAGGATCAAAAGGGATATTATCATGAATAGATTATAATGTGTGTTATCATTGAGTTTAAAATTATCGTCCCGATGAATCATTCAAAAATGAAATAATTAAATATAGAGAAAGAGGAAAAAAATTTGTTCAACTGTTTGAATAATTAATTAAAATTTAAGACAATAAAAAAAATGACAAACATATCGTAGTAAAAATTATTAATAACATTTAGGGATGAAAATAGAAATTTTGAAATATAAGATGAAAGCTTCCTACATATCATAATCATTATTGATATGTTCTAAATTGCTGTTTCAAATTTGATCGTTTCATAATTATACACCATCTCAATATATTTGAGGAAATTTTAATTAAAAAAGGATTACTAATTAAGTGATGAATGTTTATCAGATGATATAATGATAATTGCATAAATTAAATTGTTAATAATACAGGAGCATTTTACGCAATTTTATAATCTCCCATAAGCTATTTTTAATTTTTTTATTGAGTATAACAGTGATTTTAATCCGATAATTAGCAGGTTATATGTAATATTTAATGAACTGTTGAATAATCCGTTCAAACTTAATCATTTCACTCAATTATTATACCAAAATAATTGCAAATTTAGTTTTATACTACTGAACATATCATTTTTAATATCATTTTTCTGACCAGAAAAAAAATAATAGCCTTCGGTCAAGTGATATCAGCAAAAAAAACGAAATAGTAGCCTTCGGTCAAGTGATATCAGCAAAAAAACGAAAATGATAATCAAGAATTTTACTTCTCTCTCTCTCTCTCTACATATCATAGATAAGAAAAAAGCAAACTATAAATTGATATTTGATAAAGCTTTTGTTTTTCTTTCATAATATCTTAAATATGAAATGTCATTCCTTTTAAGTAGTATAAATCAGTTATAAAAAAAAATGACATTTCATATTCAAGACATTGTGACTGATAATTTCAACTTTTTTACATTCATCCATCTATTTAAGTGGAATTTTTACATTAAATTTTGAAAATTCTATTTTAATTTAACTATTCGACAATGTTTGATAATTTCAACTAATTAATGTATAGATGGTGTAATTTATCGATAATCTTAACTAATTTATAAATTAAACCAAATAATTTAATGCTTGATCATTCAAAGTAGATATATTTCATTAAATTTAGATTGTTGATAGTATTCGATCATATTGAAATTGTATGCTAAATGATCAATAAATTCAATAAGGTTTTCGTTTAAAGCATTGAAAAAAATTAATTTTTTAAGCAAATTATCCCACTGAGAGAATATGAAGCATAATTGTTGAAGCATTGAAGTAAACATTATAAAATATCCAATATATTACATTAATATTATTTAATTATTTAACTTTAAGGTGGAAATTAATAAATATTTTACAACGTTGGTATTTCACAGCATAAAATACTTTCAAGAATACAAAATTTTTCAAATTTATCGATGATCTTTCATTTAAAAAAACTTTCATTTCATTTAATTTCATTTAATCTAATTTTCATTTAATTTCATTTAATTTAAAAACTTTCATTTAATCATTGTCAACTTCTGATCATTAATTCATTCATTCATATCTTTCCAAAAATTCCTTTATTCATTACTACATTACATTTATGCAAGCAGTTTCTGGATCAAGTAATTTATTGATATTATGTATTATATCCATTTTTAACTATAAACAAAAAGAAAAAAAAAAAAAAGTGGCTGAAATTTTCTTAATTTAAAATGGGTGAAAAAATTGCTTAATATTAAATGACATAAAATAAATATTAAATAAAAAACGATTAAAAAAAAAGCATAAGGTGACAAATGAGTATTAAAATTATATACATATTTTATTCCTTTCTTAAATAATAAAAAAACAAAATAAAATTTGACGTTATGATATTACTTTCTCTTCGATTCAATATTTTTTTTTTTTTCAATTCCAGGTACGGTTTATGAATTTGGGAACATTTACATAAATTATGTAATCACAATTTCATCATTAGCCATTAATACTTAATTCACCTGATTTTTCATATGAAATGCTAATAAATGTATATCATTTATTATATATACAATTTATTATTTGTCTTTCTATGACAATATTGTTCTAGGCTTTATCAAAAGCATTGTGAATATTTTCAAGCTAGTGAATTACAGTAATATTGCTATGATTTTCATCACTAAGTGAGGAATACGATGAAAGATTTAGCTATAAATTAGTATCCATGTAGTATACTGATTCCATTTATTTAGTACGAAGCTAATATTTGCTTATAATCACTGTAAAATTAATTTTTTATTTTTTCTTCCTTTTTTCTAAACCATTAAATTGTAAAGATATTATAATTAACAATTGCAATTCTTTGGTTTATTCAAAAATTGAGTATTGTAATACAAGTTAACAAACATCTGCTTCTTTCTCTAAAAAATTAATAAATTGAAATTGATCGCCACATTGCTATATACATCATTAATACTTTCTGGAAAGTTAATTGATTATTTTGGAGTATCGGTGACAGTAATAGTATTAGTAGTAGCAGCAGTAGTGTCAGCATCAGCAGCAGGACTATTAACATTAGTTACAGTATCGACATCAACAGTAGTAATAGTGTCAGTTATACTAGTATCAGCAACAGTTGTGCTATCAGCATCACTAGCAGTAGTAGATTTAGCTGCAGCAGTATCAGCAACAGTAGTTATAGTATCAGCATCATTAGTACCAGTATCAGTATCTCTAGCAGTGTCAATTGTAGTGGTATCAGCAACAGCAGTTATAGTATCAGCATCAGTGGTAGCAGTATCAGCATCAGTAGTTGCATCCGGATCAGTATCAACTGCAGCAACAATAGTAGTTGCTGTTGTTGCTATTGTTGTCATTGCTGTTGCTGTCGCTGTCGTTGCTGCTGTTTTTGTTGCTGCTGCTGTTATCGTTGTTATTGTTGCTGTTGTTTCTGCCGTTGTTGTTGTTGCTTCTGTTGTTGTTATTGTGTTACCAGTTACTGTCATCAAATCACCTTTGCATCCCTTTGACAAATATACATCCGCATTCACATCAAAGTAATTTGTGTGATCTAACGGGTTGTTGGCCAAAAGCAAATTACGACAAGCATAATCTCCTGATAATGTGCACACCTAAAAACGAATAATTTCATTCATAAATGATCACAATCAATCACACTCTATGCATCAACTGATAAAAACTGATAACACTGACATTGAACAGTTATGCATCAGTTGGTTAAGTGAAATTAAGAACGGATAAGACTATAACTTTATATCAATGAAGCTCATATGATACTATTTGCATTCTAGGGAATCACAGTAGGAACAGATACTGTATTCAATCATCCCATAAAGGTAAAATTTTTTTTCCTTAAAATAGATTTATTATCAGATGTGATTGAGACAAACACTTACGCTAAATGAACTGCCCTGTTTCATATCATTATCATAATAAACTAAATAACGATAAAAATATCCTTGTCGTTCTGCGATTGTTGGCGTTAAAAGTAATCCAATTGGATTAATTGTCGCTGGCATATTTGTCACCTAGAAGATTTCCTTTTTTTCTTTTTTTTTTTATTCATCTAATCATTAAATTATAAAACGAAAAAGAGTAAAAACACAATAAAATATGAAAATTTAGGAAAAAATAATAAAAATTGAAATGTCCAAAGAAAAAAAAATGATTAAATGATTTCTCCAAATTCAAATTTCTTTTTTAAAAAAATAGATTTTATAACTTTTAGAAATGTTAAACATTTGAAAGGAAAAAAAATTGGTTGTGACTAAATTTGTCAATGGCGAAAAGAATTGTTGGAAAATAAATTTAATAATAATTTAACTTCCAATGAAATATTATAAACATCATTTTAATTATATGTCATATGTCAACGATGATAGGTTTGCTCGTGTGTAATAGGATAATATTTGTCACAACTTACCGGATCACCACGATGAACTACCCTATAACGAACTTTGACATTTTCCTCAACAGCTTGAGCAAATGCTACATTACCGGTTCTTGGTTCACCAAATGTAACAAGACGGACTAATTTAGCTGGGAATATTTTCTTTTTCACAAGATATAATGCTGTCATTGTTGACATTGATCCACCTAATGAATGACCTGTGCACTGAAATGTCACTTTTACTTTTTAATTTTTTCAAAAAAAAGATTTTAAAAACGAATAATAAATAGGGAAACTTTTTTTTTTACACATGATTAATTCCAAAAAAATTAATAATATCATTAATTAATTTTAATGCATACATACAATTAATCATTTCCTAGGAAGATGATTCATAAAAAATCTTTGTTCAAACTGTTAACTTTAATTATCTGTTCATTTTCGTATTATTACTAATATTATGTTAATTATGAATAACTTGAAATACGACACTTAAAGTATACCCAAACTTCATAGTCAGAATGTTGTTTCTTCAGCTTAATGAGGTCATCTTTTAAACCACTTCCTTTAAAGAGTCGTTCAAATGCGGCATGAAAATAGGTCGTCACACCACCTCCTCCTTCAAAATTTTGCCATACACCCAACTGTGCTGTCACCATATGTAAAAACTATAAAATGATTTCGTAATTATCTAAAAATGATAGCAATAATAGTTTAATTATGGTAATTAATAATTTTTCGCTTGTTGATTTGTAAAAATTTTGAAAAATACTAAATTTGCTAAAATGATTGATTACGAAATCGAAATCATTTTATTAAAAAAAAAATAATGTGTTATCATTGATTTGTATATTTTTAATAAAAATAATTCAATAAAATAAATACGTTTTTTCTTTTTTTTAAATACCTAATTAATGAACCTTTTAGACAAATAATCTCACATTAATTACCAATTTATTCTTTACAATCTATTTGTTTAAGTTATCAGAAATTTAAACATTATTTAACGAAATGTTTGTTCGTATCGTATTGTAAACATTTATAGCTTTTTCATTTATTTTTAATAATTTCAAATAAAACTTAAAATTAAGCAAAAATTTATTGGAATATTTGGGGAATTGATTATCGTTTACAATATTTGGATATAAATAAGCATGGAGAAAAGAAATGGAAATTAATTGTTAACATTTGCATACTTCGGTAATTAATTGTTTATCCATATTACTTGATTTATATACGACATAAATATGCCTGTCACGCTTAGAAATAGCAAGCATTGCAGCACAGAGATTATGTGATTGATCACATTCCACCTCATAACGTTTTATCAATCTTAATGAATGAAATTAATTAATTAGCTGAAATTAATTAGCTACAATGTTAATCTGAAATAAATAGAGAATTTGATGCAGAATAATTTCTAACATCATGAATTATTACCAATGATAAGGTGCTATATTGTCACTCATAGATAACATGGCAAATTGATAGGAAAGAAAAAAAATGATAAGAACTGATATTCTTACCGTACATCAGGTCGACTATTAGCAAGACATTCTGTAGGATCTTTATTTCGAACGGCTAATGTAAGGCTATATAACGATCGGCCAAGTGCATCAGTATAACGATACTTCTCATCGATTGGTGCTTTTTGAGGACACATAAATGGTTTACGTACGACAACACTGTCACCTGATACAATAGAAATTGGTTCACCACATGCTGACTTATTAGTATACCACCTGAAAACTTCAAATAAAAAGGAAGTTGGTCGATAAAACTTCAGGCATAAATGTAATAATATATGTGTTTACCTGTGATTCCTGAATATCTGAAAGTGATAATTAAGATGACAATGATATCTCAAGAAATTACTATTATATAAGTTAAAAATTAATTAAGTTAAAAACAAGACAGTGAATACCTTCAAAAATTGATTAATTTGAATGAATAAAATGAAATATTTATTTCGGTAAATAAATGAATAAATAAAATTACTTAAACAATTTCATTAATGGATAATACTTTTTCCTTTCCATTATAAATTACAATTTTCTTTTTTTAAGTTTCTTTTTTTAGTAAAAATTTAAAAAATTTTTTTAATCAAAATTGAAACATAATTCTTACCCGCAAAATCGCTGAAATTCGGGCAAAGGACGATATGCTTTAACACATGAAGCGCAATCCTTATATTCTGAGCAATTTCTAATAGTATCACCATCGATCATAGCGCAAAGCGCAAATAGTACTAACGTAATTTGTAACATTTGTAAAATATATCTTTCCTAAACATTTCTTTTTATAAGAATTCTTTTATGCTAATTTATAATCTCATCGCATACAATTGACAATTTCGGCATTCTTTTATAGTAATAACAAAATTGTTATCGTAGTTTAATTAACACAAATATATGATTATGGATAATTTTATTAATTGTGTATAAAAATCATCCTAAAATCAATTACTCAACAATGATTATCGATATAAAGTTACATAATATCCTAAAATTCTAAAATCAATTACTCAACATCAATTACTCGATATAAAGTTACATAATATCCTAAAATTCTAAAATCAATTATTTCTAAAGTTAATTATTCAACAAATAATTATTCGATATAAAGTTACACAATGTCCTAAAATCAATTATTCAACAATGATCATTCGATATAAAGTTACACAATATCAATTACTTAATGCCAATTATTCAATATTAATAATTATTCGATATATCAATTCCAGTCATATGCAAAAGGACAGATGGAAATAATTGTCAAGAAAAAAAAAATAATTTTCGAAAGTAGACAAGAACGAGAACAAGGGAGAATCATATTTATTATTTTTTTTTACTATTCTATCATCATCTTCCTTCATTTTCTTACTAACTCATTTTAGTTCATTATTCATTAATTAAAAATTCATTCCATATTTTGGTGCAAATTTTTCAGTGACAAATGCGCATTTTGGAATGATTCAAAGCAAAGCAACAACCATATGATTGTGAAATTTTCAACAATTTCACAATAATTTGGATTATTTACCACACTGAATGATTTAAAAATAGCACTTCATGGTATTTTTGATGATATTAAAAAACAAAAATAAAACTTTAAAAATTAAAATTTTCGCGGAGCAAAATGTTCAAACATAAATACAATCTAATAAATAATTAAATTGCATAGTAAAATTATAAAAATTGATTGTAAATACGATCTAAATAATAATTAAATCGTTTAGCAAAATTACAAAAATTATTAATCAATGATAACTGTTCAGGAAATTCCATGCATACATTTTAATAATGATATTGCATGATAATGATAATGATATGGATTATATTTCATGATAATGACAATGATAATGATGATAATGATAATGATATGGATTATATTTCCGGTTGCAATGTTTGATCAGCTTAAATTATTTAAGTTTAAATTTATACGATTTTCCAATGAAACATACTGAAAAGTGTCATAAATAATTTTTTTATTCTATCATTTTTGAATGCTTTGAAGGAATATTTTAATTAAAACATACAAATAAATAGAATAAAATTTTAATAAAATTACTTGGAAAAAGAAATTTTTGTTAAATGTGCGCACATTTTATATAATTGAAAATTGTGTAAATTGTCATCGCATGCATACAACATTTCATCCATTTCCCATTAAAATCTTTCTTTTTTAGGTCATAACACTGACACAAATTCACTTCTGTCGACATACATTACATCGCCCAATTATATGATTCGATATACTGATGATAGTATATCATGTATATTTATCACTACATGATATCATATGACGCAATAGAAAATATTGATAATAGTTTATCAGATATTTATCACTATATGGTAATATAGAGCCAAAATATGTAATATAAAATAGTAATAATAGTTTATCAGATACATATCATTGCATCGCGTTATATGACCGAATTACTAATACAAAATACTGATAATATTATATCAAAAATATATATATGTATAGAAAGAAAATTGAAGTTTTATAATAATTTCATAAGTTTAGGTGAATAAAAAAAAAAAATTTTCGTAGTAATGATGAAAAAGATGAATTTTGCTTATTCTTTTCTAGTGAATATACAAATACATTTTCATATTGTAATTTGTCATAGTGTCACATGCAGGAAATATCCAAAAAAAATTTCATTCAATTTAAATTAACTGATTTTGGCATCCATTAGTTATGGTTTTTTAATTTAATTAATGAATTATTTAATAAATAATCCCTCTTTTTCTCTTTCCCTATTTCATATGTGAATTTTATGAACAGTAGATCTTGTTCATTTTTTTTTTATATTTCTATCGAAATTATTCAATGCTTGAGATGAAGTTGTAATTTCTAATTTACAAATTAAACTACAAATATCTGATCGAATTAAATTAGTATTTCAGGATTTCTTTGTTTCAATTTTTTTGCCTATTATCACATTTGTTGTATGGCAACAAACGAAGAAATAATTTCCAGAAAAAAAAATAATGAAAATTTTATTTCAAGTTAAACTGAATCGGGAATTACAATCAAATTGGTTTATCACTTCTCATCATTCATTTCTTCGATATATTTGTGATTGATTCGAAATCGAAATCATTAAAAAATTTAAAATGAACATTTTTTTATATTTTAGAATTGAACAATTGTGATATTGATTTGATTTGTATTCGCCAATAATTACAGTAATGATTTTTTGTGATTGTAATTCATAACTATTAATTACAGTGGTGATAAAATTGCCTTTTCAGTTTGTGTATTAACGCCGAATTATGTGTTAATCTACTATAATTATATTCAAATACAAATACAAATATGCAAAAATAGATTTATTTAAACCATTTTAAAATAACTATTAATTTATCGTACGATCATTAGATTACAGAATACTTCCGTTTCTACCGTAATTAATGCTACTTCTTAACATTCTTGAGACACGGAACAAACGGTACAAAAACAAATGTTTCAGTAGGATAAATTTAGGAACAGTTTGGTAGTTTTGAAGTGTTAAATGGATCATATCTCAAAGCTATATTACTCAAGATTATTTGAACCATTTTAAAATAACTTTTTCAAGAAGCCATTATGATAATGTTTAAAAGTACTGTGATAGTTATCAATTCATTACATAAAGCACCGTATCATTCTCTTCTCAAAAAATTTTATTTACCATATTCTGGTATTCTTCATTAACTCATCCATATTAACCTTAAGATTAGGGTATCTAATAAATATTAAAGAAAGGATAAAATTTTGATGGCGAAAGTATAAGACAGTAGAAAAGTTGCAAGTAACATTCTTTACCATTGTTATAAATTGTTAAGTAAAGTATAAAATATGTTGCAACAGTAACAGAAAGATTAGAAGTAATAAAAAGTACGGTATAAATAAGGGTTTATATGTTGTTATATGAAACTAATCTACAAATTTCTTTATGTTAAGTTTAAAAGTTTGAATTTAACTTTTTATATCCAAAATTATTTCTTAAATAACTATTATTTTGTGATTAAGTTTGCAAAAAGAAAAAAAAATTTGCAAGAAAGAAAAAATTGTACAGATTTAAATTTTAAATATTGAAAGAAAAAGTTGAAATAAAAAGGAGAAAAGATTATGAAAAGGAAAGAAATGATATTACAATTAGCACTATTTACAGATAATTGCCTCAAATTTTTTGTCTTTTTCAGATGACACTATTTAATGCCAATATTTTCCCAAACAAAGATCTTTCCCATTTTTGACACATCCTTTTGACATTCTTCATATCATTATATGTTATTGGTTAATCGTTTCAAACAAAATGTATTTTGTTTTTTCCTCTTTTTTAATTAATCATTTTAAAGTATGAAATTAACCTATTTGTTCCCCAAAAAATTGATGCAATAAGTTTTATGTAAAGAACAATTCATTAACCTTTTAATGAATTAATTAGAAAGTTATTTAATTAGTTATTGGTGGAAGATAATATTTTTGTTGCATTTCTGCGTCTATAAATGAATTATATCATTTTAGTGACAATCTTTTCTTTGTTTTAACGCTTCATATCATTCTAATCATTCGGATTCTTGTCATATCATATCATTCTAATTTTTCTTTATACCCAATTCTTTTCATATCATTTTAATTTTGCTTTTATATTCAGTTCTTAGTATGCATTAGTTAATGTCCACCTTCAGGATATCATTTATTTGATCGATGATATTATGGCATGTAAAAATGATTCCGAAGGTATAACAGACGTCGTAAACATTGCCAAAAGATGGAATGATCACAGTAAGATTCCAAAACAACAAAATAAATGCGAAGGTCAAGGAAGGAGCAAAATGACCAAGGGTCATATATGGAATAAATGGGATAACGAATGGCAGCAAAATAAATCAAAAAGGTTGGACATTAAAAGTGAGCAAAAGGATGATGAAAGATGGAAAAGAAATGGAAAAGGATTAAAATTTGAAAATCAAACTAATATTGAAAGTTCAATGGTTCGAAATCAAGAATTTAAAAACAACAAAGGAGTGGAAAAGATTGAATGGACCGAGAATTTCCAAATCCCGGGATTAATGATAAATATCGAAAGGAAATGCACATTGACACTATCATCCATACAAATATTATCAGATATTTTTGAAGAATATCATACTCATTGCTGTAATGCTTTTCATATATCTCCCAATGATACAGCAATAGAAACATTAGAGCAATATGCTGCTATAACATATGCTATCATCAGATTACTCTTCCGTATTGGCTATAATCCTGAAAGAATAGCAGTTTCCGGACTTGATACATTGATAATATTAGCTGCTAAAGATGCGATGAAACTTGAAAATGCGTGTTTTGCATGGAAATTTATCGCATCTTTAATAAAAGACGATGATAATCCGGCAATCGTTCGAACAAATCAATGCAATCCTATTGAAATTAGATATTAACTTCCTCAAAACAACTTCACTAATTAATCTTCAACAATTATCACTATTGGATACAGAATCCCTTACAGTAGCAATTCTTACTAATGATGAGGAAAATCAACAATTTCTTACTGGATCAATGGAACCATATGTAATATTTAGGTCTGCGAATAATTATTCAGTGAAGTATATCGAGAAATTTGATGATTCTCGAACATCTATCATTTTTCAGAAAGATTCTGAACTCCTCCAATCTTTACAGAAAACTCCAATTCAAGAAAAAAAATTACTGGAACAAAATACTGTTGAAGTTATTGATGTACAAGTAAATTTAAAAAAGGAAAAATACTTATTCTCCCATTTGATACACAATTACAACATTTTATCAGCTGCGACATTACTTAACACTATTTATGGTGCATTGACAAATCAGAGGTGCATTTTAATAAAAGATGCAACCTTCTTGTTTCCTGTTACTTTTAAACCTGATAACGAAATTATCAATTTCAAAATTCGAATTTCTGCTGAGATATGCACTGTTATCTATGTAAACCATCAATGTGTCACATTTCGATTTGATAAACTTTATCAAGGGATACATTCTGGTGATAGTAATAATGAAGAATCGCAAGATATCAATTGTACTATTGATAGATTACGTACTGGATCTGTGTTAGATGCAAAGTTAGTTATAGGAAAGGAATTTTATGCTCAAATGGAGCAATATCATTATCAGTATCGTAAGGAATTTCGTTGTGTACGAAAATTAACGATAAATAAAGATAGTGGTACGGTAGAGCTTACATCAACTGAACATCTCGATATTCTGATCGATGGAGCTATGCAAGCAATCGTTTTCATCCTTATTCAACAGTATCATAAAAAATTGATAACTTTGGTACCATTTCATATTCGAAGAATGAATATTGTTAACATTACGGAAAAAGCAATTACAACCGGAAAATGTAATGATGCTAATAACATAATGGCATTTGTTAAAGCTAAATTACAAAATGGACAACTTTTGGGCTCATTTGAATTTGTAACTGATAAAATCGCTGTTTCAGCGAATGCTATAAGTTTTTATCCAATGATGCCTGATAAAATGATAAAATCATCGGAAAAAGAAAGAGTCCTATCATCGAATTCACTCAAATCAAAGACAGATTCTCGTCACAAAGCAACAGTAAAACCGGAAACGGAGGAATCAATGAACAAAAATGAGTTATCACAAATGATGTTAAATAATGCATTGATGTTACAGGACAAAAGTTTAATATGCATTAAATCGATTGCATGTCGTTTACCCAAAACTGTTCATGATCCGGCTGAATTTTGGGATGCTCTTAAAACCGGCCAAATAATGGCAAATAAAATTCCATGTTCGAGGATTAATGGAAGGGATAATCTGGCTCGAGGCGAATATGGTCATCCTGTTAGATGCGCGAATTTTTTGACGGATGATATTAGCCATTTTGATGCAGCATTTTTTGGCATTTCACGAAGTGAAGCAGAAAAAATAGACCCACAACAACGTATACTTTTAGAATGTGTCTATGAATGCATGGAAAATGCCGGATTAACCTCACTGAAAGATGCCGGATTTTTCATCGGCTTCATGTCAAATGAATATCCTGATATTGTGAAAAGCCGGGATGCTGTATCAATGCTTGGTTCTAGTGCTAGCATTGTCAGTGGACGATTGAACTATTTATTTGGAAGTACAGGACCATCGATTACACTTGATACAGCATGCAGTTCAAGTTTAGTTGCATTGCAAGCAGCAATTCATGCATTACATAATGGAAGCTGTACAACAGCTATTGTTGCTGGCGTTAATTTAATTATGACGGAACAAAGTATCGGTCAACGAGCAAATGGTAATTTATTAGCTGATGATGGTTTATGTCGTAGTTTCGATGCATTAGCAAACGGATATGGAAGAGCAGACGGATGCGTAGTACTTCTTTTAGGTATCACTGATAAAGCGGTAGAAAGAAATGATTATGCGGTAAGCATTGTTTCAACATGCATCGGTCATAATGGACAAAGTATATCACTTGCCGCACCTAATGGTTATGCTCAAGAAAAATTACTTCGAGATTGCTTAAGTAAAATTCAAGGTAATCAATCTGTCAAATACTGGGAAACACATGGTACAGGTACCATAATTGGTGATACTATCGAGTTAAAAGCATTACAAGCTAATTTACAGCATTGTTTAATTAGTACTGTGAAGACACATTTTGGACATTCAGAAGCTGCTGCTGGTGCTACCGGATTGGCTAAAATTCTACTACAATTTAAATATGAATACATTCCGGAACATGGATCTTATCAATGTTTGCAAAATTTACAAGATGGTAATTTATATTTACCTATTATTGGTGAAGAATGGATGGATACATTAGCTGGGATAAGTTCATTTGGTATTAGTGGAACAAATGCTATGACAGTATTACGATCTAAAAAAATAACATTGAAACGATCGAAAAAGAAAATAATGACAAAATGGCAAACATATATTTGTCCAATATCAGCAAAAAGTAAGGAATCATTGGATATGCTAATGATAAGTTATCAAACAATGTTCGAAAATACTTTTCAAAATATCAAAGATATTTGTTCAACAGCAGCATTTCATCGTAATCATATGCAATATCGTGCCATTATCTTATTATATAAAGGAAAAATTATGGAACAATGGATGAATGATGAGAAATTTTGGAAACAAGAAGCGATAGGATTGAAATTGTACAGTAATTCATGCTTATACGTATTACCATGGTTCTATTCGATTTTTCCGAAATTCAGAATGAATTTCAAAATTTATTTTGCATTAATGAAGAATTTTGCAATGCAACAAATTTCTGCAAAATTTCAACAAACTCGAAGTATTGTTATTCTAGCAGGCTTTTTAAGCATAATTACTTTTCTAAATGATATTGGTATTGAATTGAAAGCTATTCATGCTTATGATAGTCTATCATTAACTGCAGCTTACTTAATTACAGGTAAATTAGAGTTTACTGAGGTAAAAACATAGTAAACTCAAATATGCAAATTTTTACGTCAAAAATTTCAACAACGAATAAGTACATTGGTAATTATAAATGGTATAAATTAGATATCATAAATGATCGAAAAATATTTGAATATGAATTGATGAAAATGATTGCAATAACTTATCTACGAGGAGATTGCATTAATTGGAAATATTTGTACTCATTCTCTTTTCATTCGATTACGCTTCCAAATTATCAGTTTAAACGTGAATCGTATTGGATTACGAAAAATTCATCAACAATCGATCATTGGTTAAATGGACGATTGATAAAAGAAGAAAAGGACGAATGCATTTTCATTAATCAAATTAGCAAAATGATAAGCGCAAAATTGTTGGCATTTAAATATGATGGACAAATGCGCTTCACTTTTGGTATTTGTTGTGAAGCTATCATACAAGCACTACAGCTTACATTTTTGAAGAATATTACCGAACAATCACAACATTATTTCTTCAACAATTTAACAATGATAAAATATTTGGTGCAAGAAAATGATTGGATAAAAACAACGATTAAAAGATATGAAGATAAGAATTATCACGTGAAGCTAACCTGTGCTTCAAATATTATCTGTGAAGCAAATATTATGCTTACTGATTATAAACTTACCATGAATGGATTAAATATTACTCAAATTGGAAATTTTATCACAAAAGCGAATTTTTACGAAATTCTCAATGATAAAGGAATATTTTATGATGGAATTTATCAAACAATCATTCGTGCTTCATCTTCTCATAAAATATTTGTAACAAAATGTTACTGTCAAATTTTCCTCATTGTAGAAACGATAATACAAGTAGCATGTTATTGTGATATTTTAAATCCATCTGATATTTATAATGAAAAGAAATTTATCATTGAAAATTTAAATTTTCATATGTTTTTATCCGAATTAATGTATATCCGGATAGAAAATGGCAAAATAATTGTATACAATGGAAATGATTACAGGATGATGATTAGTGTAAATTTAAATGATAAGAAAGTTAACGAGAAATATGATAAAATAAAGTGGCGAAAAGAAAAGGATGAAACAAAATTCGATCAATTTATTAACTTTTCCTCTACTACTTATCAAGAATACACTGATAAAATACGAAAAGCAGTTGAAGATATTCGTAAGGATGATAGTTCAATTAGCAATGAACAATTATCAGCAACATTCATCGAACTTGGTCTTGATTCATTAGCAATTACTGATCTGGCTAATCGCTTAAATACTATTTATTTTCCTGATTTACAAATTGGTGCAGTAGATCTTTTCAACTATCCCAGTATTTATTTGTTAACGAATGCAATTTATACACGTAAAATATCATCGAGAATTATTGATGATAAAGAAGAAAAGGTACGTCAAATGAATGATACGTCATATTCTGATATGTTGGATAAAAAAGTACGTCAAATGAATGATACGTCACATTTTGATATGTTGGATAAATCGACGCTTAAAGAAACTCGAAGTCAAGAGAAGCATTCATTATCAGTGATGGATGAAGATGAAAGTTGTGCATATGAACAAATATTCCTCGAGCAACAGTTAAGAAATGATTGTATGACTGTCATCATTACTGACAAGAGATCCATATCAGAACGGAAATCAGCGAATGAATTGATAATTATTGTAAGTAACAAAACGCGAAGAAGAAGCAGTCATGATGACGTCGGAATACTGTATTTGAATACAAGAAATCCTGAAAATTTTAAGCATTCTTTTTTGTTACATTTAAATGACCATAAAACAGTCTTAATCAAATTTGAATTAAGTAGTAATTTTCCATTACGATATCTTACAGAAGTTTTACTTCATCTTACAAAAAATATCATTCAATCCAAACATACTTATGCATTTTCTAGTAAGCCTGGATTTGGAAGAGCCAATGGATTTGCATTAGGATTTGCTAAAAGTTTGTGCGCAGAATTCTATCCTAAAGTGCAGTATGAATGGAATTTCATTTTGAAAAAAATTTTAAATTTAAAGAAATATGTGGAAGAAATGCCAAAAAGAAATGATATGAATTCAAAGGAAAGATGGCTTATTACTGGTGGTCTTGGCGGAATTGGTTGGCAAATAGCTAAATTTATCGGATACAATCGAAAAGTTTCACATATCTTTTTGCTTGGTAGAAAGGAACCAAACAAAATACAAAGTCGAGAAATGAACAAAATGCATGATAGCGTAGGAGTTGACGTACGAGCAGTTTCCGTGGATTTGACGTCAAAAATACAAATGGAAGAATTTTTCGACAAATTACAAATATCACTAACGGGTATTATTCATAGTGCGGGATGTATTCATGATGCGTTAGCTTCCAAACAGAACCTTTCAACTTTTCGTCTTGTAACTGAGGCGAAATGTGACGGTCTAGTAATTTTGGAAAAACTATGTCATTCACATCCAATCAAACATTTTATCGTTAACTCGTCCATTTCTGCAATAATTGGTAACCGTGGTCAATGTAACTATTCGGCAGCTAATGCTTTTATTGATGAAATTATGCTTGAACGTAGAGCGAAAAGACTTCCAGCTACAATAATTAATTGGGGAAATTGGTTGGAAATTGGAATGGCGGTTAAGGCTAACAAAATTTTGAACAAAATGGGATTCATCGGTTTGGAGACACGAAAAGCGATGACTTATTTACAAATTGCTATTGATCATGCACCTGCAAGGATGATTGTCACTCAAATTGATGTCCGAAAAATTTTGCATTATCGTCCTGATCTAGCTGTTGTATTTCGGAATAACACAAATGGAAATAATACTCTGACAGCTAGGAAGAATATTCCGGAACAGTCCTTAAACCAAAGAAATCATTTATACGGAAATCAATCGACGAATGGTATATTGAAGCAATGGAGCAAAAATGTGGAAGCAAATGGCGGAATTGATTGTAAAAATAACATCCACTATCTTAAATCGGAAATTGCCGGAATCTTGGAGACAATAACTGGCGAACCGGTAACTATCGAGGATTACCAAAGGAGTTTTATGGATCTTGGTCTTGATTCTCTCAAAATATATCGATTTCTAAGTGAGTTAACCGGAAGAATTGAAATAAAGCCCCTTCTAAATGTGCTGACAATATTTGAATATCCAACAATTAATAAACTTTCTCATCATATTGGATCATTATTTTGCCGTATAAAAGAACATCCAGAAAAAATGACCACTGATGACAATTTCCGGTCAAAAAATGCGGAAAATTTAGAAAATATAGCTAAAAATTTCGAAATTTTCGTATTCCACTCAAAAAATGAAGAGAAATTGGGAGAAGAAAAACGCCATTTTCTTGATCTGTCCGATCAATCCCGAATCTCGGAAATATTATCAGATCGATCGTTTGCGCACGATCAGTCTAACAATCATTTACATATTATTTGGGGTTCAAAATACAAAATATTACGGAATAAATTCTTACACTTCGAAAGTATTCCTAATATCAAGCAATCCCGAAAGCCAATCATATGCTTCATGGTCAGTGGTCAAGGAAGTCAAGTGTGGAATATGGGCAAACAGTTAAGTTGCATTTTTCCGTTTTTCCGAAAAATATTCAATGAAACATTGGATATTGCAACTCGGTATATGCCCAAAAAAAAGTGTAAATATTCGGGATGTAATTTATCAATGGAATCATCGAGAATTACTGCATAAAACGGAATATGCTCAGCCGATTATTTATTGTTTTGCATATTCGCTTGCAAAACTTTACGAATATTGCGGTGTAAAGGGTACCTTTTTTGTTGGACATAGTGTTGGAGAAATTGTTGCTTGTACGTTAGCTGATCGAATATCTCTTGATCATGCATTAAAATTGGTCATACGACGAGGAGAAATTCTCAGATATACCGAAGGAAAGGGTAAAATGATTGCTGTTAAGGCAAATGATGCCAAAAAACTTCAACAATACAGTGGAATGAATCAAGCAGCTATAAATAGTAATAAACAAATTGTTTTATCAGGAGATAATCAATCAGCAAAATTATGCTTACATTTTGCACGATTACATCAATGTTCGGTTACAGTAATCGATAATTGCTATCCTTTCCATAGTTCAGCAATCGATGATACACTACTGGATCAATACAGGATAGAATGCAAAAAAATGAAATTACAAAAAACGAAGGGAAGAAATATTGTTAGCAATTGTACTGGTCAATTTATGGATTCTACGACGAAAACGATTGCTTCAATCAAATCCACTGTATTTTTCAAAAGATGTGTGGAAACATTGGATGATAATAATACTAATATATGGCTTGAAATAGGTAATGGTGAAATTTTGACATCATTGGTGAAAAGTATGATGGGATCTGCATCAGATACTTTGATATGTCCAGCTATTAGAAATGATAAACAAGAAATGGACTCATTCATTCATTCATTATGTCAACTTCAAATTTTCGGAGTTAAGATTAAATGGGATCGAATTTGTAATAGAACAAGTACACAAGGAATTATGAAGTCATATGAGAAAAAGATAACGAAGAAATTGATAGACGAAAAGGAAAAAGATTTGGAATTGATTGAAGAGCATCTTATCCATGGTAGAATAACATTACCTGCAGCATTTATTATCACTATGTTTGCTGAATTTGCTATAAATTCATCAGAGAAATGTATTAGCAAATCGGAAGTGATAAGTAACACACGTGAAAAGTTAACGTTTGAACGTAAAACGATTATTTTTGAAGCATTAAGGCTAGAAAAACGAGTGAATGAAATTGATCTAAGTAAACTTGAAATAAAATTTCACTCACCTGAATTGATTCTAACAGATAACATTAGCAAGTATAGCAGTTGTCGATTAGGTAATGAAGAGAGCAAAAAGATCCGGCAACGAACCAGTACGTTAAATAAGTTACGAATTAAGTATGAACAATTAAAGGTAAAAATGGAAAAATTACCTCATCAAGCATTTTATGAAACAATGAGAAGATATGGTTTGCAATATGGATTAAAATATCAAATATTACGTGAAATATACCGTAAAGATTATTATATTGGTGGAACATTGATCAATGCTGATAATTTAACGCAACTTCTTGATGGAGCACTTCAACTACTTTCTGCTGCTCTTCTTGTCACTAATAAATCATCAATTTATATCCCATTTGCAATCGACGATATTATAATCAAATATGATACGAAAACTGCTTCCAATTGTTTTTATGCCTATGGAATTATTTCAAAACGTATTGATAATATTATCAAAGGAACAGTTGTCATTTATGAGAATGATAATCAAATCATTATTCTACACAATGTTACTGCAATTGATATTAGTACTAATAAGTCTATCATATCAACCAAACATCGTAATTCTTCCGATTCACAATGTTCAACAAGCAGAAAAATGAAGCGTACTGCTATCAAAGATAAGACTGATAGTATCAGACATAATCTGAATAACGCTGATAACACAGCAATAATGGAAATGAAAAGACATAATAAGTCATCTGCTCGGAACGACACATTACAAATCGAAATTATCAGTTATGTTGGTCAATTTCCGGATTCTGCAGTTGATTGTGCATCACTGTGGAATAACCTGAAAGCAGGAATAAGTTTGCATTCATCCGGCAATATTCAGAAACTTCAAACTGATGTTACCATCTTTGACCCGGTAAAATTTGGCATTACACCTAAAGAAGCGGCTTATATTGACCCTCAACAAAGAATCCTGTTAGAGATGACACAAAAGACGATTGAAAAAGCTGGATTAGAAAGACTGGATAGTGACACCGGCGTTTTTATTGGTGTAAGTTCGAGTGATTTTGCGCAAAAAGCATATAAAGAGATCCAGGATACCTGCTCATACTTGAGTACCGGTACGAATCAAAGCGCTTTAGCAGGTCGCATTGCTTACTGGTTCAATTTAAAGGGACCTACTATGGTCGTTGATACAGCATGTTCATCGTTTTTATCCGCCCTTGTTGTCGCTTGCGATAATATCAGAATGGGTAATTGTCGAGCAGCTTTAGTTGGAGCCGTTAATATAATTCTGAATTCGAAATCTACTTCCGTATTGGAAAATGCGCAAATGCTCAGTAAAATCGGCTGCTGTAAGGTATTTGACGTGGATGCAGATGGATATATTCGATCAGAGGGCTCTGCTATGATACTAATCCAGGGAACAAATGGGGAAAGTCATAATTCAAGTAGTGAAACGTTAGCCATGTATCGAAACGATATGAAGTTTACAATCGAATCTTATGGTATGGGGCATAATGGACGGTCGAATGGACTTACGGTACCAAGTGGTATAAGTCAGTACGAATTGATTAAAAGGGTCAATAGGAAACGTGTAAATGCATTGACAATAAGTTGGGTAGAAGCTCATGCGGCAGGTACCCCATTAGGCGATCCGATTGAGACGAAAGCTATTGTTAGAGCTCTGGCAGATACATCGTACACTGATCAACCGATCCGCATTACATCAGTCAAAAGTTCAACTGGTCATTGTGAGGCTGCAGCCGGTGCTGCATCATTGATCATGGCACTTGAGGCCTACTATCACCGCTATCTACCACCAATGCAGCATTTCAAATTGCTAAATACGAATATCATGAACAATGCTGCATTAATTGTACCAGTAATTGGTGAAGAATTACCGGATACCTTCGATATGCTCATAAATAATTTCGGTTTCAGTGGTACTAATGTATCAATAGTTATTAGAGGATGTAACAGAAGGCAACTGAAACAAAATGAGAAAGCACCAAATCAACCGGTAATGAAGCAAAGGTTATCATCTGGCCATTCACCATGCATTCTTTTATGTTCGGGAGATGACTCAGAATCATTTAAACTGGTATCTGAAAAATTGGACGATTATATTGAAAAAACGAGTCACAGTCTTGTGACAGTATGCGCATGTTTACAAGATTTGAGAAATACCGGAAGATATCGGACAGCAATGCTGATTAAACGGCATACACAAAAATGGTTATCTTTCCGGATGTCGAATAAACCACAGAAATGGACCAAAGTTGTTTTCAGTATGGGAAAAAGTCCAAAACCGACTATGATCGCTGAACTATGCACAGTATATAGTTCTTTTCGGAAAATTTTCATAGGATATATTAGAACTTATAAATGTGCGAATAGTTTTACATCATCCAAGTCAGGTGGACAAATTGCATTTGAATATATTTCAAAACTTTCACTGGTCACATTTCTACTGACCATTGGAATAAATCCATCAATAATTATTGCATCGACCAGAATCGATCGAATTGTTGCTGAAGTAGTAAGAAGAAAATATAAAGTGAAATATCGTTTTGAAGCGAAAAATACTTTTAACAAAGGAATGCCATACAATCGTCGGAATTTTGAAATACAACGGGAGATGGTTGTCGAAGATTTCGATTGCATTTTAAACATGCAAACCTTACGGATTGAAAAACCTGAAACGGCATGTAATAATAACTGGAAACAATCATTTATCAATCAGTTCGTGGATACAATTTGCCAACTATATGAGCATTTCATTGACATCAACTGGCAGATGCTTAATGATCGAACAACTAAGACATGCCTTATACCGGATCCTGAATACTCCAAGAAGAAATATTGGCCTTTTACTGATTGCAATATGCAAAATACCGATTATAATCCTTCGTATGGTGAGGTTCCCTTACCGAGTTTACAGTTGGAAATGTCTCAAAAAATGGAAAAATTAGATGAAACAAATCCTATGGCTGACCAATTTAACAGTAATAATTTTGGTAATACCAAAACGGATTTGACCAACTGTCAATACTTATACAAATTAGTTCGGAAGAAATGCATACTACCGAATCCGGAACGAATTATCCCATTTATTGCTATCAATCTTACCGATATAACAACAATTATAGGACAGCAAGCTATCTTTATAGGCAAGATAAATGATAATGACAATATTGCAGAGGTCATAAAGCAGGTTGATTTGCATAAATGCACAAAGTTGATATTAGAATGGGTAATTGATGAGGAAAATTTAATGGAAAATAGCATAAAGCAAAGTATGTTGGTAATTAATTTGTGGAAGATTCTGGTAAATAAGAGCAGGAACAATAACAATAATGACAACAACAATAACAATAACAGCAACGACAACAACAGTTATCGCAACACAAATGAGAAATTATGCTTAATTGTCTTTGCAACAATTAATACCACCAAAGAAGAATCATCATCGATCATTTGCGCCAGCGCCATTTTCAGCTTTACTGAAAACATTAGCAATGGAACAAACAAATGTAAATTTCAAAAGTATTCATACCGATATTATCGATCAAAAACTTTTCCATGAAATTTCGGATGAAAATTTCCTTAATGAAGTAATTTATTACAATGGCGGTAATCGATATGTTGAAAGACTGCAACAAATGGATAGCACAGAGCTAATTAAACAACAAATGAAGAATATTGATCGAATACTAATAACAGGAAATATTCGAGGAATAGCGGGAAAATTAACTGAAGTATTAAGGCCTCATTTAGCGGTAGTTGTATCCAGAACAATGCCAAACACATGTAATAACGATGAGAATGGTTCTATGGTTCGAACAATACAAGCGGATTGCACTGATTACAAGCAAATGGAAAGAATTTTCGCGACATTTGCGCCATTTGATGTTATCTTCCATTGTGCAGCAGTGATAAATAATAGTTTAATGGAAAATATGAACCTGAAATTGTTTGAAATGGTATGCCGTCCAAAGGTTATAGGTTTGCAAAATATCATCAGGCTTTCGAGACTATATCCAATTCGGAAATTAGTAGTTTTCTCATCAGCAGCAACAATTCTTGGCTCCGCTGGACAAGCTAATTACGTTGTCGCCAATGAACTTATGGAATATTTGATGAGGAAAAACATACCAGATGGATTGTTTATTAGCTGGGGACCATGGGATGGACGAGGACTTCTGGTAGGTGAACATATGACTGGCATTCGGAAGCAAATTCAGAACATTGGTTGGAAATTATTGGAGGTACAACAGGTGGCTCAGTTATGCTGCAAATTACTTTCCAGTACAGGACATCATATAGCAATGGATGTTAATTTTGATATGCTTCGAAAAAAGCGCTCGTACCTAAGAAATTTTCTGGAAAATATTCCAGATAACAACTTCAACATCCATAAATGTGAAAGATCGTTTCCAAACGATCTGCATTCAGATTCTAAATCAGGAAAAGATTTCAATGAAATAATCAAGAACTGTATTACGGAAATAAGCGGTATTACAGATGTAAAACCTGATTTGGGTTTCATGTCAATGGGAATCGATTCATTGATGATATCCGAAATGCAAGCAATATTAAACGAACAATTGAATTTGAATATTCCTGTTGCTATTTTTTACGAATATTCTACTGTGGAAACATTATCACAATATATGGCACAAAGTATAGCAACGAATTGCAAATTACAAAATGATACGAAAGCAAAAGATATAAATGATAAGGTTGCAATTATTGGTTATTCGGGAGCTTTTTCAGGAGTACCTGATGATGAGATATTTTGGCGCTCTTTGCTAGATGGCAAAGAATTAATTGAACATCACAAAAGTGATAATGATGAAACGGTGGAAGCAATTGGTATAGTGCCGGATATCGACAAATTTGATTATCGATTTTGGAAGATGAGTCCTGATGATGCAAGTTACATTGATCCACAAATCCGGAAATTCGTTGAGCATGCATATATTGCTCTTGAACGATCAGGTCTTATACGATTTAGGCATAAGCTAAGAATAGCAGTTGTTGTTGGCGCTGAACCATCGGAATATCGCCCAAAATCACGTCGTATTGGTGGTATTGAAGATTTATACGAGATGAATCAGAAAGATTTTGTTGCCGCATGGACCAGTTACTTACTTGATCTTCATGGTCCTTCATTTGGAGTTTACTCGGCCTGTTCCACTGCTCTTGTGGCTATCATACAGGCGCTTAATTTATTGCGCAAAAATCAATGTGATGTTGCGCTTGCAGGTGCCGTATCTTTGTCTGTACCTCGTACAAATAATAATGGTAACTTACAAGGAATGGTACTATCATCTGATGGTCATTGCCGGCCATTTGATCATAAATCTAGAGGGACGGTTCGAGGTTCAGCAGTTGGTGTTGTTGTATTACGACGACTTAGTGAAGCTCGACAAAATAATGCCCCAGTGATCGTTAAAGTAACTGGCTATGGGATTACTAACGATGGCCTATTAAAGTCCAGCTTTATGGCACCAAATATTAGTGGTCAGCGCACTTGCATAAAGGAAGCAATTGAAATGACCGGTACAGCTGAAATGGATTACATCGAATGTCATGGAACCGGAACAACAACGGGTGATCTAATTGAGCTTACAGCAATGTCACAACTGTATCATCGTGACACATTGATTGGTTCAGTGAAAGCTAATATTGGACATGCTTTAGCTGGATCCGGCATTGCTGCTATCATTAAATTATGCAAAATTGCCGAAATGAGAGTTATTCCAAAACAAATTAATTTTGATAAATTAAATGAAAATCTGAAAGACGTCAGTTTCAAAATTTCTCAACGTAACATCGAATTTCAGAAAAAAAAGTTACGACTTGCAGTGAATGCTTCCGGTATTGGTGGTACTAATGCACATATTATTATGGAAAATGATAATCACATATCTTCCTATCAATCAAACACTAAGCAATATTTTTATGTTCTAACGATATCAGGTAGAACTAAAAATGCATGCATCCATCTTTGTGATCGTATAGCTGATTATCTGAAACCGGAAATGAATTTAACTCAGGTAGCGAGTACGTTACAAAATTATCGTGAACATTTCGAATATCGGATTGGTATAAATGTACAATCAGCTATGGATGCTATCAATCAATTGAAAAATATTACCAAGATACAAAAGATGATCAAATTGAAGCGAGAAAATGTCGCATTCTATTTTGCTCCTCAAGGACAAGAATATTTCAATATGGGATTAGAAGTAATGGCTTACAATGAAGTATTTCGTAAGGTAATGGAGAATTGTTGTCGTATTGCTACCAAATTGATTGGTATGAATTTTCAAAATATCATTCATCCACAACATCAATTTGATAAGCAAAATATTATTGCTGAACAACCGTACTCACAGATGGCCACATTTATTGTATGTTTTGCTTTGGCTGAACAATTAAAAGCCTGGGGTATTGAAGGATGTATAATGATTGGACACAGTTTGGGTGAATATGTAGCTGCAGCTCAAGCTGATGTTTTTGATGTAGAAACTGCATTGAAGATACTTTTCAAACGAGGATGTTTAATTGCGAAAACTGAAAGGGTCAAAATGGTCGCTGTAAAATGTTCAAAATTCACCGCCGATTTATCATTGGAAAGTACCGATGGAAAATATTTTAAAATTCCGGAAACAATTGAAGTTTCGGCTATTCTTAGTTCAGATCTTAAATGTTTGGTTGGTAAACCTGAAACAATTGAAGAATTGAAGAAGGAAATGAAGGAGGATGGAATGAATTACAGGGAATTGATGACCAATTACGGTTTTCATACTTCATTCATGGATTTAATACTTGATGAATTTGCTCAATTTTTAGAAAATTTCACTTTTCGAAAGCCAACAAAACAAATTTTATCAAATATTGACGGACAAATTATCAAATATTTCGATAGCAAATATATGGTGAAACATATGAGAAGTGCAATTCGAATTGATAAATGTATCGATAATTTGCATAATGAAATTAAAGCAATCATAGAAATTGGTCCAAAAGGAATTCTCGAAAGTTTATTAAAGGATAATAATTCATGTGAAATTGAAGTAATTTCAACATTACCATCAAAGAAGCAACATGAAAAAGGTTATGATACAGGTGATCTGTTCAGTGTTGTAACAAAACTATGGATGAAAGGTTATGAAGTAAATTGGGAGAAGATTTGTGGAAACTATGGTTTCGATCGGCTTCTTCCAAATTATCAGTTTGAAAAGGATATCTGCTGGGAATATCAAGAAAAGGAATGGAATACGGAAAGACTTAACGTAAACCTATATGAATCATGCTGGATACCGTATAAATTTACTAATCGAAGACGACTTCCAAAAGGAATCCTATTGTTTTTACCGAGGATTATCACAAAACCTATTAATACACTCCTCACAATATTACATAATCTGTTTGTACCGGTTCGATGTATTTTCAGTGATACTTTATCATCCGGAAATGTAAATGTAATAAATGGTAACGTTTACATAAATTCGAATAACGAAGAATCATATCAACAATTAGCCAGTTTTCTCCGGAATGGTGATTTTCACTATGATACTATAATTCATGCATGGAATTTTCCGGTAAATCATGAAACTGAACGGACGAATGATTCGTACTTACTTTCAAGTTTTTATTCCATATATTGGATTTTAGCAAATGTTATACAAAATTCGACTGATCTAAGGCTTTTGGTAAGTATCGATTGGGATGCAGAACCGGAATTATTCACTGTTCTTGGACCAATAAGGGAATTAGCGATGACAAAACGATCAATGAAAGCTGCCTGCATCCTTTGCACACCGGAAGTTAACTTATTCGAGGGACTACAGTTACTTGAATCTTATCCGGCTGATTTTTTGTTGATCCGAAATTCAATAAATGGTGAATTTGAACATTTTTCCTATAAACTGAAGCCAATTGAAAATGATAATTATTCGACGGGAAATCAGGATCGATCAATTGATGAGAATGATTGTCTTGTTCAGAGCGCTGATGTCGTTGTAATTTTTGGATTTGGTAACATTGGACAATCTTTCGTCACTGTTCTTTGTCAAAATTTTGACTTTTTAACAATTTATCTGGTTAGCCCAAATGCGACACGTCATTTTCAACAATTTCAAAATAAAATTAATCAATGGAAAACTTCAAGAAAGTTTAAAATGTCAGAAAAAGTTAACATTACCAATGTACCGGTAACGGATGTCATCAATGATCAACATACAATTCATGCATATGATGTTGACATAACGAAAAAAGAAGATATACAACATTTGCTAACTCAAATAATGTCGCAGCATGGACGGATTAATGTCATAATACATGCAGCAGCCGGAAAAATTGATAGTACTAAATTTGAAAAGAATTTCAATGAAATACAATCTATATTCCAACCAAAAATTCGAGGTATCCGGAACATAATCGATACTTTACACGGAAATAATATCCACATTCGAAGTCTAATTCTCAATTCAAGTATGAATGCATTATTTGGATTACCCGGTAATACTGATTATGCAGCATCAAATATTTTTCTGGATGCATGTTGTTGTAGAAGGAATTTCCGAAATATCCAGAATATTACAACTATACAATGGACCGGTTGGAAAGATAGCAATATGCTTGGTTATTACATGAACAAGGAAAATAAAAGTCAGAATCCTGTAACAGACCTTATCATAGAATATTCATTATCACTGGAAGAAGCCGGACAAATGATATGGAAATGTTTCCATGAACGAGGATTGATTGCTGTATCATCTGTTAGTCCAAATGATATTATCCGTGAAATCCGTAAACTAAACTTTATGACAAGTCGTAAATTTGGTATTATTCCAGAACAAGAAAAAACTGTGGAAAAGAATTGCAACGATTTAAGAAATATTATCGCAAAAATTTGGATGGATAATTTAGGAGTTGAACAAGTGACCTATCATGATGATTTCTTTCAATTAGGTGGACATTCCTTAAATGGGATGCAAATCATTTGGGAAATTAATCGTATGTTGCAAATTAATTGCAAATTGGATGATCTATTCCAAAATTCGAAATTCGAAAACTTTTTGAAATTTTTGCAAAAATTCGTTATTAAAGAAGGTGAAGAAAAATTTAATTTGGAAATTTTTAAAATCATCGACAGTACCGGTAAATTGAAAAGGATTCCGCTCAGTTATCCGCAAGAAAATATGTATATTTTAAGACAATTGCAACATCCCACACTTTATAATGTATGCTTTTTATTAACATTTCAAGGATTAATTTGCATCAAAAGTTTGCGAAAAGCGCTGCTATTTCTTATTGCCCGGCAAACTTCGCTTCGAACAGCATTATCGGTATTAAATGATAGCTGTTATCAGGAAATTAAATCTCTCACCGAATCCTATTATCATATAACCTGGCCTAATATGAATGAACTTGAACGTCGTAAACTGATAAAGGATGAGAAAAATCATGCAATGGATCTGAGTCAGATTCCATTCAGGATATTACCAATGTGTAATAAAGAAAGTGATAATGTGGAAATTGAATATTTGATAATGATAAGCCAACATCATATCATTACCGATGGCTGGTCGATGACTATTTTTGCTAATGAATTAGGAAAGCTTTATCATTACTGTTTGATAAATCAACGTATTCCGGAAACTTTGAAAAGATTATCTCGGGATGTAACTCATTTCGCAGTTTGGCAACGTACTAACGAGTTTACTAAGACGATACAAAATGATCTTCAACGATTATGTGCCAAACTTCAAGGACTTCAAGCAACACGGATTATGGCGCAGAAAACTGCAAATATAAGATCGAAACTAATTAGCCAAAAGATATTCTCTATTCCAACATCGCTTTGGGCGCAAATTAATCAAACAGCCAAGGAGTACCAACAAACGACGTATACAGTAATGCTTACTGCATTTTTGTGTCTTATTCGGAAATTCTCGGATGATTACAGTAACAATACAATTGTAATCGGTTGTCCGGTATCTGGAAGAACAGATGCAGAAGAAATGAAATCGGTTATGGGATATTTCTTGAATAACATCATCCTAATTGTTAAGGATTTTAAACCAAATGCACCAAACAATGTTCTTTTTGAGAAAGTCAAGGAAGCAATTCAGGAAGCTCGATCATTTGAGCATTTACCGTTCCACTTATTGGTCGCTAATTTGTCACATCAACGACGACATGCTTATCAACATCCTGTTTTCGATATATTCTTTAACTATCGACATAATCTTGATTTCCCGGAAATTGAAATTTCCGATGTAAGAAGTACCATAACACAACTTACCACTAATAATGCATTTGATTTTGCATGTACAATTGATGAAACGAATGAAGGAACTCTGATTACTGTTGATTACAATGCCAATCAATATTCGATTCAACTTATTGATACGATGATTACAGTCTACTTTAAACTACTTAAATCTTTTAATAATCAGTCTAATGGTTTAAGAAATGAAATGAATGATATGAGATGCCGAATCAATCGTGATATGATATCAGGAAGTCTCATTGATATTATTGAGCAACAATCTACATATACTGATAAGCTTATCGCTATCTATTTATCACATCAAGCAATTACTTATCGACAAATGTATGGCATGATTCATATATTTTGTATGAAAATAAAACAATTTTATTTGCAAAATAACTGTGAAAATATTCGTGCTGATACGATCATACCGATATGTGCTGATTCGAATGCAATAATAGTACCACTTTTAGCAGTACAACTAACTGGTGCTGCATATGCACCAATTGATCCTACAAATTCTACTACAATGATCAAACAATTAGTTGATGATATTAAGCAACAGTTATTATTGTTCAAGAAAATAACTTCGATCTTAACATTCCAACTTTATCATTATCACATTTTTCACCATTGTTGAATCATGCATTTTATGATAATGAAGGATACGAAAGATTAGAGAAAGAAGATATCAGAAAAAGCATACAAAACTCTGATATATCATACGTCATTTTTACCAGTGGTTCTACAGGAAAACCAAAACCTGTTTGCGTCATGAATCGGAATCTTCTCAATTTTGTACTTGCATCAACTCAACAAGCATCTTTTCGTCCCAATTTTCGTATTTATCATTCTGTAAATACGATTTTTGATGTAAGTTGTGTAAACATCTTTACAACATTATCAAACGGTAGTTGTTTGATTAGCTCAGAAAATATTCTGAATGCATCTGTTGAAATTATCCAAAAAAATGTACAATTTGCTTTTTTACCATCAGCATTATTTAATATGTTTGATGGTAATGAAATTAATCAATTTCAACAATTGGAAAAATTATATGTTGGAGGTGAAACACCAAATAATGAGCAACTTAATCGATGTTTACAAATGGGAATTCCAGTTCGTCAAATTTATGGTCCAACAGAAACTACTGTTTGGTCATTATCGAATAATTGTTCAGTAGCAGAATATGAATGTGGCCGAGTAATTGGAATACCAATTGATAATGAGATTGTATATCTTTTAGATTCAGAAAATAATATAACATATAATGGTGGTAATGGTGAATTAGTAATATGTGGTGAAGGTGTTTCACGTGGATATTTAAATCAAAAAAGGAATGTTTTTACATTTAATAAATTTCATAGTAAAGAAGATCAAATTTTAAATCGAAACATATTTTGCTATCATACCGGAGATTTTTCAATGAAACTTGGTGAAAAGTATCATTTCATAGGACGAAAAGATAAGCAATTGAAGATACGTGGTTATCGTGTGGAATCTGTTGCAATTGAAATTATTGTAAGACAATGGGATTCATCAATTAGAAATATTGCTGTTTTAAAGAATGATCGATTAGACAATTTATTTTTATTTATTGAAAAAGATACCGATAACAAATACTGTGAAGAATTACGACAATATTTGAAAGAGCATTTGCTTTATTTTATGATACCCAAGAAGATTATTATATTGCAACGAATGCCATTAAACAGGAATGGAAAGATTGATATGAATAGTTTAAAAGAAATGATGGAAAATGATTATCCGGTTGATAAAGATTGTCCCGTTTCCGGTTTCATTCAAGCTAACGAAGTATTATTGGAAGAAGTGAGAAAAATTTGGTGTCAACTACTTGGAGTATCTCAACTTGAGCATGATGATGATGATTTCTTTGTAATTGGTGGACATTCACTTCTATTAATACTCCTTCGACAAAAACTTCATGATAAATTCGAATTTAATCTTAACTTTGAACAATTTTATCGTCAACCAACATTAGCAGCGCTTATTGATAGCATGCATAAAAGCGCAAATATTTGCAATGAAATAACAATGGAGAAGGAAACATCAAATTGTCACGTTTATCAAAACCGTACAACTTTACTATCATCACCTTTACCATATTCTAACCCGATAACTGAATCAATGAGATTTGTGAATCTTCGAGAAGTTGCATCAGCTACCGGTAATCTGTACATGATACATGCTATAGCCGGTACTGTATATCCATACTTTGGACTTGTATCAGCTATACCACAATGCTTGAACATTTATGCTATCGAATATGAATTTCATTATCCATCGAATAGTTTAATAGAGCTTGCATCCTTTTACTCCAAACAAGTAAGTGAAAATTTCATCGTCTATTTAACTTTCTTTTTTTTTAATTAGAAGAAGAGAAAGTTTCATTACATCATTCAACACAGTACTCTCATATTATTGATTTAATCAAAATTTTAATACTTAGATTGTTGAGCACAGTCAAATGAAAGCCATATATTTGATGGGACATTCATTAGGCGGTATTTTGGCACGTGAAATAGCAGAATTGCTTCATAATGATCGAATAGCATTTGTTATAATGCTTGATTCATGGTATATTGGTATCAGTAACTTAAATGTAAACACTGTCAAATGTTATCTCCAGGTTTCAATCTTTATAAAAGAACTTTTTTTTTTTTTTAAATTTATATTTTTCATACGGTACAAATGTAAAAGAGTGTGTTACATCTCTTTTTTTTTCTCTCATTTTCCAGGAAAAATTAAAAGGATTACCTGGTAAAGAGGAATATATTAAGAAATCAGAGAAATTAACTGAAATGTTGCAAAATCATCAATTTTCGATCAGTTCTATCAAAATTTACCTTTTAAAAGCAAAGAATTATGGAAATTCTCCTCTCAGAACAAACTTAAGGTAAGCAAATTTTGTTCGATACAATAAGCGTTATTGTTTAAAGCATGATTGAATTTATGTCTCAGAAGCTGGCACTGGAATTAAAATGATAAGAATTCATGCAAAAAAATTGCCCGGCTTATCAATAGCATAATCAATATCTGAATTAGTAGATTATTTAATCCCGAAAGGAATCGGAGAATCGTCGCCCGGATTATCAATAGCATAATCAATTTCTGGATTAGTAGATTATTTGATTCCGAAAGGAATCGGAGAATTGTAGACATAAAAAACGATCGAATAATCCTAAATGCTTTTTTCTTTTTTCTATTGTGAATTTTCTAGTTAGACCAAATCATTTTTTTAAAAAAAATGACTAATAATCGCTCAAATCTACTAATATTCTTAGCTAATATCAACAGAACCATTCAAAAAAAGCAAAGGAAATTCATTAGTTTTCTTTCTCCCAAACATTTTCCGGATAACATCCTCAATTTTTCAGAGGAGCAAATTCCGAAGAACAAATGCGATCGATGATTTCAAATGGATGGCACAAGATTTCTACGACGAATATGGACATATTTCTGGTTGATGGTGACCATGATTCTATGTTACAGCAACATAATATAGCCTTCCTAACTCGTATTTTTACCTACATTTATGCTAAGAACGGAGTGACCGTTGGACAAGCTTGAATGACCGATCTTTCATTTCCCTCCATAATAATTTCACATCTAATATCATGATAATTGGACTGAACCTTCCTATGATGCATGTTTTTTTACCTTGAAACAAAATAATTGATAAATTGTAATGCAATGCACTTATCACCAAAAATCAATAAATTTTAATAACAGGTGAAATCGTTGAAAACAATGGTGCAGTATTTCAATATTGGAAATTTCAGATGTCTAGCAAAGGTCCAAAAGTTCCACTATGATTATCAGTAGTTTCATTTGGTTCAAACTATTTTCACTAGGGAATACAACAATCACTTTTCCCACGAAAATCAATCAATAACATCTCAAACAAACACAGGAGAATATTCAACAAAGCTAACAAGACAAAGTCAATTGAAGTTTTTAAAACAAAAAATAAATACCTCAAAATCCTGAAACTATGACAGAAAACAACAAATCAGCCTGCATATATACATAAAACTCAACATATTTGAAAAAATACAGAGGTAATTATCATCCAAGAGCTTTTAGAAGATCATCTTCACACATATTAGCATCAAATACGACTTTACTCCACCTGCTTTGCTCAAGTGCTTCGTAAAATTCTTCACCATTTTCTAGTACATATTCGTTGCTCTGTTCAGCAGACTCATCCTCCACTGGTTCGACACCACACATTTCGTACGATACAATTGCCCCGCCAACTACGCAAGAATAGTACTGCTGAAATAAATTTTAGCCTTAAATGGTGCTAATTCAGTTTATATTCGGCCAAACCTCTGGAGTTGTATTACATAAATCATACAGCAGCTTTTGCATAATATTTATTAAAGACTTTCAGGATACTTCCATGAAAAAAGATAGAAAATAAGCTTGTGAACAATTTGAACAGAAAATGACGAGATAATATTTCGTATGATTCCTAGTAACATTAATAGATTCCAGTAATATTACTTCAGAAACGGTTTGCTGAGGGGTAGTTCGAGGAGTTGGTGGATAAGTATATTGAGCATGATAAGTATTCACTGGATGAGCACTTGTCACAGGTGCCGCATTATATGGATAATAAGATGCCACTGATGTTGGAGATGTCACAGGTGCTGCGCCATTATCCTGAAATTAGACTATATAATCCAAATAAGCCGAGCAATTATAATATGTAGACTTTGTTATGAAATTAGAAAGCTGAAATTAGAATACTACAATGACATTTGAATCATAGCTCACCGCCGAAACTTATTACTTCAAAAAAAAAAAAAAAACCTGTGTATGCAAATAATTAGTGGTGGTATCATATCCAGTAACAATATGCTGAGCTTGCTGTTGTTGTTGTTGTTGTTGTTGCTGCTGCTGCTGCTGCTGAAGATGACGAGGTTGTCTTGGTGCTCGATATTTCGGCTGTGCCAATTTTAGGATTAGTTGCTTACCATCGACGCGATATTTGTTCATTTCAAGCTAAAAATATTCAATATATAGTTGAAAATTTCTCCTATCTCCAGAGGTGGGTGTAAAATGTTACATAACTCATTTCCTCGAAAATTCCAGCAATTTTTAAAAATTGAATGAGTTTTAATAGCTATTACCAATGCTCTCTGCTGATCAGTTTGATCCGAAAATCGTACGAACCCTAACCCTTTTGAGGTACCATCCGTATTTCGGTATACTTTTGCTCCACGACACGATTCATAACGTTCACCAAAAATCTATAACAACTGTAACAATATTAAAGTAAAATAGATTATTGTGATGCTGAAGGAAGGATCGAGTTTTTTTCTAAGCCTAGTTTCAACTTATAGAGACGAATTTCAAATTCTGCATTGTTAAAACAAAGCAAAGTTACCCAACAGTAAGAGCAGTGAACAGCTTACCAGAAAAAGAGCAGCATCATCCATATCTTGTGGTACATTGTTGACAAACAGATTATACTCTGTATACCTGAAATACAATATTAAACCCGCGAAGATACGCGAAATACTAGCCATGAAGATACTATTTTACATATTGTTGACAAACAGATTATACTCTGTACATCTGAAATACAATATTAAACCCGCGAAGATACTATTTTACATATAAGCGATTAAAGTCAACAACCCAAATCACTTGTTCATACAGATGCCAAATAGTTACCGGTCAAATTTTATTAGTTGCGAATTTTTATCCAAAAAATAACCAGTTCCGACCGATGAACTAACCAATTTCGTACAATAAAAGAAAATTTGTTATGCTAAAAGGAAAAAAACAAATTCATTTCAACGAACGGTGCATTTGGAGAATTAGCAAAGGAAAGATTGAATGCTGCACATGGTTTCGATTTCGGAATAATTTTTCCATTGATGTGTAACATCGCACGGCGAGCCGAGTCGCGGTCAGCAAATTCAATGAAGCAATAACCGGCTTGCTGAAATCACTATACATTTGTTAGATCAAAATTCACCAATCTCTATCAGATGGAATAACTTAATGATCAGTAGTAAGCATTTTTATTTATTAGGTGCTCAGTTGCTCGACAAATTATATCGTGGTTACAGCTGAGTAACATTCAGGAGAACAAAGAAAAATTTCGACTTATGTTTAAACGTTTTTGGCAATAGGGTATCCGGTTAATATAAAAGAATGTGAAATTTATTATGCATTTAGCAGCTGTCTCTAACAGGGGTAAAATTATGCACAAATGTTCTTGTTCTCAGATGATCTGCAAGAAAACTCGGGTTGACATAAAATGAAAGAATAAGAAATAACTAATTCTTCATTTCGATTACCCGTCATTTTTAGCCAATAAAATCGTATCACCGGTGGATTCAAAATGTTTGAACTACTCATAGATCGATATTTACTTCTGAATTACTTATTAACTTGGAAACTCAAAGGTCAGGTATCTCTGAATGATGTTGTGACAATGAATAAACATAACCTTTCCGCTGTGTTTATCGAAAACAATCTTCACATTAGTTACTTCTTCACCCATTCGAGCGAATGCTTCCGCTATGAATGCCTGATCCCAATCGGGACTCAAATCACCCATCCACAGTGTGCGATCTGTATCATCGTTCGGTCGAGATATCTGGTATGCCATCTGTTGCTATCCGGAAAATACTTCTACTAATTAAGAAAAAGTGCCTTATCGAATGCAATATTCAACTTCGAAATTTTCGCAACGTCCAGTTCACTGCTCGACAAACAGTTCTGCAGCCTGAAAACTCAGAATGGAAACTTCAAATTCCAATTTATATCGGTACTACATAAAGCTTAACAACAATAATTATTCTATTGAAAAAAAAAAAAAAAAAAACTAACAAAGAATTTAACTATACATTTTAATACAAGGAAAAATTATATCGAGTTTAAATACACATTCTAATATAAAAAAAATTAATCTCAAATTCCGTTTAAAAAACCCAGTATGTCAATGTTAATCTCTAAAGCCGAAAAGTCCAACATCCGATCTCTCTCGTCCTTATTTTCATTAAATCAACCTAAACGGTTAGCTTTACTGATTCTTCCCCAGCACTTTTTTTCGCCCTGTTTCATATTGCAAAAATAACAATAAAACGAGATAACCCGAAACTTTGTTAAGAAAAAAAAAACTTTGTTAAGGTAAGCTTATAATCATCTGATGATATATTCTATAATGGTTTAAAACAGTGGAAGAAATATTTTTATTTACCAGGGAAACAAAGGAAGGGAGAGACTAATATGAAAGCACTGCCAAGTAAAAGGAAAAAAAAAACATTAAATCAGGCATTCTATACTGAATTTAGCTGTCAGAAAGACAGAATTCAATGGCATTAGTTTAAATTTAAGGATTTCTGTCCTTACTCACATGCAACGTCACTAAAGCAAAAGTTAATTAACAGATAAAATCTTAGAAGCCAGCATAAAGTTTGAAACAAGAAGAATAAGCTTTAAATGGTCGGATTCCGACGTCAAAAGAATTTGCAGATATACCATTTTTGTTACATAAGTTTATCTTCTCCAATTTCATTGCTAGAAATATTTTTGGATATTTCATGAAATATCCAACTAACATACTTTGATGCAGACAAAGTTGCATGCTGGTTAACCTTAACCTATACTTTTTTTTTTCTCCAGCTGGTATTACGAGTGACCTATTGTGATGCTTAGTCAACCTCATTTCATCCTTTTGTTATTGCTTAGTTCTTGATTAATTTTTCAATTTTAAATATTCACAAATTACTCTTTCCATCTTAAATTTATGGAATGAAAAAGCACAAATTTTTGCCTGAAAATAGATCCATAATTTTGACAATAACGGCACTGCATAAAATATGATAATTGATTTGGAAGGAGGAAAAGATGAACTCGGAAGAACCAGAAGGCAAAGAACGGAGAGGACGAAAAACAACGGAACTTTCAATTATGTTGCAAAATTAAACAAACAGAAAAGTAAATTAAACAATGACTTCAGAAAAACCAGTAGAGAGATATGCGGAATTCGCATTAAAAACATTTGCTTTCTTTTAACAACCAGAAAAAATTAGCTAAGATGAAAGATAAAATTATATATGGATAAAACCCCATTCCAGAACGAAAATGAAATACAATAAATAATTGAATGTGTTTATAATAACGGCAAAGCAAAAAATAAACCTATAAAATGACATAAACGGAATAATTTAGAAGATTTTTCAGGTAAGCGAATATGTCACCGAAGAAATTATGAGTTGTATCTATGGACAAAAAATTCAGCAAAAGTTTTAGATAATGTACAGAAAAACCTTAGCTCTCATGCAAAAAAGTGGACTGAAAGACCAGAATTCCTTCAGTTTTAAAGAAATTAAAATAAAATAGAAATTAAAATATAAAAAAAGTAAGCAATCAGTGTAAATGTCTTAAAGGTTCTAATACTGCGCGTAAATAAATTTTTAGGCAAAAAAAAAAAAATGAAAAGAAATATCACATAAGAACTACTTGTAGAACATTCACATATCACTAAATACATAATGGTGAAAGAAAAATATTGCTTGTGTGTTTATTCAAACTGATCCAAACTCATCATTTTGACGAAGAGCAACATTTATGTTTGAACAAATTTCCCTCTTCGTTCTTATCCTTTAACATGAAGTAACAAAAGTGTAAAGAAATGAAATAAAAACCCCCAAAAAAAGAAAAGAAAGTCAGTTTGGATGGATACCTACACCTAACTTGTCAAAAATACGATATTCTCAAATTTGTGCCAGAATTTTAATTCGTCTCACACACATGCTTATTGCATTTTGGTTCATAAGAACAACCTGGAGAAGTAAAGCCAGTGCTGTTCATAAATTCAAAATAAAACAATCCTACGATCCATAAAATAGTCAGGGTTATATTTTCAAAGTCACTTTAATTAATAGAACTGACGGAAAACGTGGTGATACTTGGAGACCTAAAGTTACCAAAACTAATCCAGAAAATGAAAAGTTTAGAAGTAAAATCTTTGTTCGATGAGGTTAGATTTATAGATAGGAAATGTAACAATTGAAATTAAGTAGAGAGCGGAATGGAAGACGAGTGAATAATGAAAATAACGAAATATCTAGCATTTCTATATAACATGGCAATTATAAAGAAAAATGAGGATGAATATGTAAAGTAATTTAAGTGACTTTGAAAATACTACCTGAATAACATAATTGCTCTTTACACGCGAGCGACAACAGACATCTCGTGAAATGTTAACACACTACTTCGCACAACTATTTCGCTTAAAATACTGTATTGAATTTCAAGAACAAAACAGAATAATTCAAATAATTTTTCGAAAATAAGATTTTCCCTTCATATGCTGAAACGACAGTAAAACCATTACAACCCAATTATAGTGCAATAAAAAACATATCATGAATATTAAACATGACTCAAACTAAACAAAAATCTTCCAGTATGAATCAGTGTTAACAGCACTCATGTTTAGCGATTCGATGGCACTTATTCAGCAATTTCAGCCTCTTTTGATAACGGACCAGTGTGCATACTGAACGGACTTTCTGTGGATGCTTCATTATCATCTGGAACATTGTAATTAACTTGTGGCAAAATGAAGTTTGGATATCCATCTAGTACACGTCGAAAAATTTTTGCCACCTCATTAAAAAAAAAAAATCATAATAAAAAAATATCATAAAAAAACTCACAACTCATTAAAATTTCATAAAAAATTTATTACTCATATTTCATAAAAAATTCATTTATTAATTCATGATTCATCCATAGAAATTTACCAGGCATTGAGGGTATGAACCCAAAGCTGGCAGCAGCAGGTACTGGTGGTAAAAGAGGGGCAGTATGAGTAGTTGGTTTTGAAGATGACGTTTCGATAAGTGGGTTGAAATACCTCGATCCTGAAAATGTCCTGAGGATTTGAACAGAGAAATCAATCGATTAAGATTGTGGTTAGGTGCAAGCAAATGAAACTACCTGCTTCTGCTGCATATTCAGAAGTTATGTAAATGACTGAGAACGGTTGTTGCAGAAATGCGAACAATATGTCGAAATACAGTGAAAAACACCACCCGAAAGTGTTTGTCAGAAAGAAATTCTTTCGAATTATTCAAACGATTCAACGACAAAAATAATATTAATAACAACAGGTACAATCCTGTTCCATTTCGATTTAAAAAAAAACTTACCACCGCTTAACCGAGCAGCAGTTAATCCACCAACCATTCCATGTGCTGACCCGTTTTGTTTTTCTGAAGTTAGTGAAACCGATGGAGGTGGGTCCGGGACAGATTCTTCCTCAATTCCTTCACCAACATACCTATTGAGGTTCGGATCCCATACAATCTGTAATTTGAAAAAATTTTAAAGTAAATCCAAAAATGATCAACTCTAAGAACGAATGGTAGAATAGCTGAGGTAACACTGTCGAACACTTAATTCTAATTTTATGAAGGATAATGAAACATTATTAAATAGTACTGATGGATGTTTGTCGTCGGGAAGAATCATTTCATTGTTCGATGGAATTGCTTTTGCAATCGTTGCTTTTAGTTTTGAAAATAGTCCTGCATTCTGGCGATGATCGTTTACAACGTTCCCCTCATTAAGCGTCTAAATTACGTATCATGTTAGATAGTTTTTGAGATTGACACTTGAAAAAATGAAACTTAACTAGCTGAATTAATCAAAAAAAAGTTGAGAGAGAAAATTCGCCAACCTTTTCATCTTTCCTAACCATATTTGGTTGTTGCTGGGAGGGATACGAACGTTCTGCAAAAGGGGAATGAAGCAAATAAAAACCAGTAGTTTAGATATGCAAAGAGTATATAAATGGAATATTTAGCTTAAAATACCCGGCTCAAAAGCTCAGAAGTTTAAAATACCAAAATACTGATCTGCACCTGAGTTCTGAATTATTGGTGGCACGTAGCCGGACTGCAAAGTTCCCTGAATCTGACTTTCTGTTCTTCCAATAGGTGCCATTCCGTTTAGGATTTTTCCTTCCTAAACAAATGAGATTTGCAGTTTTAGTTATATCAACAAAAGGGAAAAAAAACGAAAAATCGGATAAGATAAAATCTACCAAATGATCAACATTTCTATGTGGACTATTTTCATGACCATTTGTAAAAGTGCTATTGCCATTTGTCGCATATTCCGCAGCTATCTCGCTGTCTGCTCCTTTCGGATCAGCTTGCTGTTCCATTTTCAAGATTTTCCACTCATAAGTACCATCATCATAATAACTTTGCACTGCTTCATGTGAATTTTGTTCATTTGCTTGTGACAACGGAGGTGAAACAATCGTTGTATGAGTTGTAGAGCTACTTTCAGCAGGATCTTTCGCGCTAACTGGCAGAACTGGAGGAAGTGATGAGTACTGAAAATTATAGGCACCAATTGGTACAATATATAGATAAGAATGCCCTTATAATAATAATAATAATAATTAATAATAATAATAATAATAATAATAATAATAATAATAAGTAATAATAATAATAATAATAATAATAA